ATGTTGGGAAAAATCCCACTTCCTGTGACAATGAAAATCACAGGACCGACAAGAGCGCAAATACGATATGGTGCAAAATAGCCAAACTAAATAACAGACACAAGGGACACAAGATTTACGTGGAAAACCCCAAAACCACGGGGAAAAACCACGGACCACCACCAACACAATATTCCACTATAACAAATCTTGGGTACAAAGTTGTTGGCTACCACCCGAGCCTAACACCCTAAAAATCATCAAATACAACAACTAGGCCAAATACAATATATCACGTTCACAGGCCTAAAAAGGGATATCAACTCGTACTCAAAATATTCAACCACCACGAACAAGGTGAAAAGAATACAAATATTACGAGCTTACCCAAAACGATGATGCCTGGAACAAACAACTGACCTCTATAAATATTTGATGAAGAAAAGTACCCCAAAGATCTTCGGCAAACCTCACGACAAATCCATCAGACGTGCGACAAAACCTGCTGACACACGCCGCCGTCGTGCCACCAAAGAAGCTAGGCAAACCCACGACAAAGTAGCACAAAAAGAAGAAGAAATAGATGTTGCTCCTTCAACTGCTGCATACGGCCGTGCAAAGAGAAAGAAAGAAAACTGAATTTTTCTTTCTTTTTTGGCCTACTGCTTCTGCCGAAAAAATACAAAAGGAATATGTGTAATATGTAGAAGTGTCTGGTGTAGTGGTGAGGAAACAATGAATTCTTCCTCCTTTTATAGATACAGGCAACCACCTTGAAAAATGAAGAAAGCTAATTAATTCCTCAACTTCCTCCCATAAACGTTAGGAAATATCCTCCCATAAACCTTAGGAAACCTCTTCCCAAGTTCCTTAGGAAATCTCCTCCCATAAACCTTAGGAAACCTCTTCCCAAGTTCCCTTAGGAAATCTCTTCCCAAGTTCATCCCAAGCAAACTTCTGCCCAACAACTTCATCCCAACATCCACTCTTAACTTCTACCCAATAACCCATTCTCCAACCCAAATAATTGTCAGCAAACTTTTCCATCAAGCTAACAAATATTGCAGTGGAATAGGCTTGGTCCCAAATGAGCTATTTACCACATAGGAGGGAAGCCCGACCCAACACCATATATCTCCATCAGACACTATCCACAAATCCTAGCTTTATTATGAGTTATCAATGCATCCCATTATCATTCATGAGTTAAGCTCTATCAGTAGATGTTCTATCATCCGGTAGCACTTGGTATTTGACTCATCATATCCAGACAGATCCTCTGGGGCAGTAGATTTAAGATCTTCCGATAGTAATATGATCGGGAGATGTCAGTACGAGGAATATAATATATGTTTGTTCCTTGTAAAAAGAGCAGTTGTTGTGCACATTAACATAAGGGATTCTAAAACCTAGATATATATGTTTAAAAAAGACGCAATAGGATTCAATTGTGATTTCAAATTCATACAACTGTGATTTCATAAATCACAATATTGTATGGTTTTGATCTATTTCATGCGTGTTATATATCCGTTTTAAAAGAATTCTTATAAACTCAATACAAAGTGCAAACTAAATGAGAAATGTAAATTAAATTTGTACATCTTTAGTAGTTCTACAAGTGTCAGCCCTGTAACACTCATCCATAAAAAAGCAGATCTTTCTTTATCCAGTTGAAGCTAAGTAATATATATGCTTATCCTTGTCTGATGCGCAAGAAAGATAAATGATGATGAATTGTTTTCCCACATCAGAAATACACAAACCAAGAAAGCTAAGAATGCTATAAATACATAAGACATAACAACATAAAACATACTTACCTGGACGGGGTCAATGGCTGATCAAGAAGAGCCATGGCCTAGACTAGTGACTTTCATTGCACTTTCAGAGGGGTGCTAGTCTAAGGTCTCCTTAAATGGGAGAGCCTATGTCATAATTTGTGGAAGAGGGGATTTGCGTTCGCGCAGTCCCTACCAAGTTTTAGTTGAAAGTTATTTAATCTTTATTATATTCAATTATAATAACATAAATAATGTAATTTTAATATATGAAAAATGAGAGTCCTTTTATTTATGGTTCACACGTCTATCTTTTTATTAATGGAAAAGGCAAATGGAATTTATACTTTTCGGATACATAGTTACTACTTCAAATACCACACTCCAAATACCTTTGGAACTATAACTTCTTCCTCTTACACAACCCCAATATATTGTTTAATAGACAATTGTAGAGGAATGATCGTCCAAACGGATAAGACAATACTAGAGACCATATTCGTTACAAACTTTCATTAACTTTGGTCCAACATATGTTAATAAAAAAATAATAATAAATGAGCTATGTAATTAACAAGATATACGGCTGCTAAATTTACAATCTCTGGCCTCCTTTGGTATATTGATAAAAAATTAAACACTCCCCCTTTCTGGTGTTCACTCAAATCATATACTTCCCCTAGCTAGGCATCATGCAATTAAGACAGAAGATAACAAAAATTTATCTATCAATTAACCATCAAAACTAAACACTGAAGCCAATTTATGAGCGAAGAATTTAAGAATTGAATTGAATAAAGCTGAACAAAACATCATAAAAACTTGTACTCAAACTTTGTGGGGTCTGCGCGAACACAAGTCCCCTCTGCCACAAATTATGACATAGGTTCTCCCAATTAGAGAGACCTTAGACTAGCACCCCTCCAAAGGTGCAATGGAGCTCACTAGCCTAGGCCATGGCTCTTCTTGATCACCCATTGACCCTGTCCAGGTAAGTATGTGTAAAGCTGTTCCAACTTATCTATTTGTAATACTTTCCTATCTTTCTTGTTTTATGAACTTCCAATGTGGGACAACAACGGAGCCCTAAATCATCCATGTAACGCCAACAAACAACCATCAGTTTTAGCCCAAATCCATAGATGGACAGAGAATACGTACGCAAAAGAATGAAAAGAAATTGAAGTTGGATTTGTAACACCAATCTTGAATCAAACAACTCTCTTCATTCAATTCACTGGAATCTCTCTCTCCCTCTTTCTCCATTCCTCTATTGCCAAATTCTGCAATCTGCAACCCTCAACCTAAAATCCTAATAGTAGTAATCTGATCTGAACAGTCCAATAGCACAAGCATTATTATATTGGCGGTAGTAGTTGGTATAGACAAATCAAATCCGATTAGAGCTAACATGGGGTGTGGTTTTAAGTAAAGGTGAAGGGTTCGATCCTTGACTTTGGATATAAAACAGTCTTAAATCTCCAGGTCAGCTGTCTACCACTGTGTCCAACAGTAGAAACCTTAATTATACCCAAAAAAAAAAATTCAATTAGAACTACCTACTCACTAATGTACATTATTTATGTATTAAAAGTACATTAATTGAATACTAAAGAAAAAAAAAATAACTTTCAACTAGAGCTTGGTAGGGGCTGCGCGAACGCAAACCCCCTCTTCCACAAATTATGACGTAGGCTCTCCTATTCAAGGAGACCTTAGACTAGCAACCCTCCGATAGTGCAATGAAAGTCACTAGTCTAGGCCATGACTCTTCTTGATCAGCCATTGACCTCGTCCAGGTAAGTATGTTTTATGTTGTTATGTCTTATGTATTTATAGCAGTCTTAGCTTTGTTGTGTTGTGTATTTCCGATGTGGGAAGCCAACAATTCATCATCATTTATCTTTCTTACGCATCAGACAAGGATGAACATACATATTACTTAGCTTAAACTGGATAAAGAAAAGATCTGTTTTTTTATGGATGAGTGTTACAGCACTGACACTTGTAGAACTACTAAAGATTAACAAATTTACATTTCTCATTGAGTTTGCACTTTGTATTGAGTTTATAAGAATTTTTTTAACACGGATATATAACACGCATGAAATGGAAACGGCAATTTACGGTCCACACAGCTGTGTGAACCACGGTCCAAAATATCATCGTGAATATTATGAGTAAAAATAATGTAGATTATGTATTAGAATAATGTACATTATGATTTACACTAATCTACATTACGTGTTAGAATAATATACATTATGTGTTAAAATAATGTACATTACGTGTTAGAATAATGAAACATCTAGGGTAATATAATGTATATTATGTTTTAAAATAATGTACATTATGTTTTAAAATAATGTACATTATGCTTTAGAATTATTACATTATGTTTTAGAATAATGTACATTATGAGTTATAGAAATATATATTGCAGTTGGACGCGCGAAAAATAAAATTAAGCAAAATAACATCGTTTTTGGACCTTGATTCACACAGCTATGTGGACCATGGCCCACACAATAACTATTGCAAATTAGATACATTTTATTATATTTCATGCACTAAAAATATTTTCGATATCGCATTTACTGCAAGCATTTAAATTACAAAATTTATTATTTTAGCATACACTTCCTTTTTGAATTTAGAAGTGTTATAAATTTGAAAAAGTTTGAAAAGTCTATTGACCCCGACCCCTTTCTATACTTCCATGCAATTTAAGAGTGAAGCTAGAAATTAGCACAATATGCCTATGAAATTATGCTCGTTTAAAAATAACCATCTAATCACTGCTGGAAATCTCGCGTTTTCCGTCCAACATTCGTTGGACGGAAAACGCGATATATTGGTCGGAAACGAGGTTTCCGTCCAACATACCGACCAAATTGAACGTTCGGAAAAACGCTTGTCGGAAATTTCGTCCAACTCCACTTTTTGGTCGGAATTTCCGTCCAACATATAAAAATGGACAGAAATTCCGCACCATTCTTAAAACGTGGGAATTTTCGTCCAACTACATGTGTTGGTCGGAAATTCCGTCCAACTACGTGCGTTGGACGGAAAACTCACATATTATATTTTGTTATTTTCCTTCCAACTGTTGGTAGGAAAGTTATAAATTATATGGAAAGTTTTTATTATTTTTACATTACCATAATTTTATTTATACATATTGTTAATAAATTATGTCATCAACGTAACAAACTAATGAACACACTAAATTTCAAATTAAAAATATATTTAAACATCAAAAATATTTACAACAAAAATAATCATGTTCATAGTACTTCCAACAATAGACTATAAATACCATATAACAAAAATATATACTACTTAAGTATGCTCGATGCACCCAATAAGCCATCAAATCCGGCACTTCTTCTATGGATGTGATCAATGCATCATCCACAGCCTTCTACTTCAATGACTTTGATCAAGTGTAGATGATGGGTATACCTGCAAATGCAACTAATATAAGATGATGGCTTTGATCAAATAAACATTTTTCTCATGCATTTCTAAAGTGATTTCTAGCAAAAATGACCTTACTTTCTTGATGGTATAGATAAATGTAAGTTCTGCAAAATGTTCTTGCAGCTGCAAATGATCCAGCAGCAACAAAATCATCATAAGCAACCTGAGATAAAACATTTCATCAATTATACTTGAAATGCACCAACATCCATCAAAAGCACCCATACATGTTAGGGATATTCATGTTCTGACCAAAACCAATCACCTTTCAGACTGTATAACTCCAGCAGCTTGAGGTGCAGTCATGCCTACATAAACATTATGATTAGACACTTATGTTTAACAAAATTGTAAACCATCCGCACTGCAGGATAAATGCAAGTTTACCAAAACTGTCTCCCCCTAACATTATTGTTTCCTGTAAGATACAAGGACAATTATGTTAATATGGTGAACTTACAAAATTTATAGTAATGCATAGTTATTCACATCACCTTCTCGCCAGGAGTGAAGTATGTTCTCAAACCCAGTAGGACATATGTTGTCCTAATAAGATTTCCAAGGCCACTTTCATTAACACCAAGTGATTTTAAATATTCCATCCTTCCATCTAGAGCCAGTTCAGCTAGCTCTGATTCAACCTGCATCAAGAAGCTCCCAGGTTCAGTTGCAACACCATGGTGCCAGTACATAGCATTCCAAATATGCATTGTCAGAAAATAATTTGCTATCTATACCAATTATAAATGCATCATAGATTCATAATAATTTGTTCCTATCTATACCATTAATTTTAGATTCATAGTGATGACCAAGAGCCAGCATCCTCCTCTTAAGCTCCCTTCATAACAGGGCCTCCAGCTGCTCCTCTCATTCTGCATGGTGCTACAGATCAGACTATGGAAGGTTCCAACATCTCTGTCATCACCCCTTCATTTGCAGCACCAGTCAAACCTGCATAAAATATTGTTACTTTACAATTTTCCTTCCTCATTTTTCCTCTCATCACACTCTTACCGCCCTACTCCCTCTCAGATTTTCAAAGCTCAAGGGCACCCCTTCAATGCTTGCAATCGAATACTATATGCTGATAATCATTATGTTAACAATCTCCACAAACACAAAAACTAGAAACAACATTCACAATAACTTAGTAATTTTACAAACATATACATGTATGGTAGCTAGCTGACACCATTAGTTCTACTACTCAAAAACACTGTAAAAATTATATCATTTACACACTTATATAACAATTAACAAGCTAGCTACAACCTTTTTACCCTTGTGAAATTAGGGAAATTAGGGCAAAAACAGAATTAGGAAAATTAGGGCAAAAATGATTTCAAAACTCAAAACTTAGGGCAAACAATTGAACAAATTAAGATTTATGAAAAGGGGCCAAATGCCAAGGGGGTGCGACTGCCGGGCACCGAACGGCGATCGGTGACCAGTGAAAATTAGAGAATGTGAGATTGTGAGAAACGAACTACGGACCTAAGGCCTGAAGGTGAAGACAGACAGACAACGGTTGAAGATGGAGTTGGACAGCTGGCGAACAGGCGACGCCGCAACAGCCGACGGTTGAAGGCTTGAAGCTTGAAGATGAAGCAGGTGAATCCGCGACTGGTTTCTGGTGGCGAGGCAGAGGATAGAGCAGAGGTGAAATGGGTTCTCAAATCACGATAGAGAGGGCGCCTAAAAATAAAATTTTGGTGGGAATAAAATTTTAGTGAAATATTTTTCAGATATCATTAGTGAGAGTTAGAACATCTTTGGTACTAATAGTGAGGGTATATTTTTAAAACAAGTACAAAATTAAATTTTTGTCATTAAATCATAAATTTTTAGCGAGAGTAAATTTTAACCCTCACAAAAACTATGTAAATAATACATTTAGTGAGGGGTTTTTCAACCCGTCGCTAATTTTTTGTCACTAAAAATTGTTTTTCTTGTAGTGACGGCGGTGGCTGGGAGATGTGGCGTCGCAAGGGAGCCAGAGGAGGGAACAACGAAGCAGATCGGAAGGGTAGGCGGTGGAGACGGCGTTGGCAGCTGCAGATCGACGGCGCACTGTTCCGAGCGACGAAGCTGTTGTGGGGTGGCGACTGTGGCGTCGGCGGCGGTGGTTGCGTGAGGAGGGGTGTGCGACGGAGGGTGCGTGGATGCGGTGAAGGAGGGTTTAGCATATTAGATCTGATTTGGGGTCTGGGATATAAAAATAATTGTTTTTAAAATATTTGGGGTGGGTTGATCGAGATTGGCGCAGAGGAGGAAAGAAAGAACAACTTGATAAATTTGTTTAAGTGTGCTCCAATGGAGAACGGGGCGAAGGAGGATGCGATGGCGAAGGAGGGGGCGGCAGAGACAACCGGCGATGATGGATGCGATTGGTTGGAGAGAAGACCTAATTTTGCTTTGGGACTATTGCGTAATAGAGAAGGTGGGAAGCGGGAATATTTTAATTTCCTAAATATTTGGTGGGAATGAATTAGGTTTTATTTTGAGATGATTTTTCAGATATCAATTGTGGGAATGAATATTAAATTTCCGTCCAATACTACGTTGGACGGATATTAAAATACCTACTATTTTAATTTCTACCTATCAGTCAATTCGACTTTACCAACCAACACTATAGGTTGGTCAGAATTTCCGTCCAACGCGCGAGTGTTGGACGGAATTTCCGTTCAACACTTGCGCGTTGGACGGAAATTCCGACCAACTTTCCGTCCACCCATCTTTAGTAACAGAAAGTTGAAATCTTTAGTAAAATACCGACCAATTTATGGTTGGACGGAAATGTTGGACGGAAAACGCAAGATTTCCAGCAGTGAATTTATGAAACATTTAAAAAAAAAACAAAAAAAAATTAAATAAAGACATTATGTATGTATTATGTTGTCACTTGCAACTCCTGCAAGCATGATGTACGTTTCTCCAATATTATTTTTGAGATTTGTGATTATGGTTGGTGAAATGCAAAATTACTTGATTGCTAATAATTTCATTTTGCAAGCAAGTTTGTAACGTTGATAATTCTTTCTTCATTTGCATTGCTTAAAGTAATTAATGTTTTTCTTTTATGAATTTTCTTTGTTTCAATTCATTATATTCTTCCAAAAGGTTGAACCCCAACCCGGCCCGACAAAACATTTGGGAGATGTAAATCATGGTGACTCAACTGAATATGGACCATAGAGGCTAGACCGGTGCTCACTGCACACAAGGAGCCCCCCTCACTTTGAGAGGTTGCTCCCACACTGCCACTGGTGAGACTCGATCCCTGGTCATCCTTCCAAAATTTCACCTCTATGACCAGTTGAGCTACCCATGCGGGCTCAATTCATTATATTGCAAGCTATCAAGGGGATCACTCTTCTAATGGATTACATGATTTAGGAATTGGAACTAATAACTCTATTTTTGTAGGCCATATACCTTATAGACTTGCTTTACTAGATAGAGTTTTTAGAGATTTTGTTAGGAGTAAGATTTTGGTGATGTTAGCTCGTGTAAGTTAAAAAATTTGACTCCCTAAATTATAATCTTTCATTGTAGATAGGATTATTTGTAAAAAATTCGACTCCCTAAATTATAATCTTTCATTGTAGATAGGATTATTTGTAAATGTCAAAATAAGACTTAGATGTATTATCGAGCAATTCTTTTAGCAGATCTTATTTGGAAGATCATGGTTCAACAGATTATTGCTCATTAGAACCTACCATCGAAAGATGCTATCTAGCAGACTGCTTAGGGGGATTCCCACATATCTTGCTAATAAGTTTGACAGATCTTTTCATCAAACACAATTCGCAGATCCTAGCTTTATTATGAGCTATCAATGGGCGGTATACCATTATCATTCATGAGTTAAGCTCTATTAGTAGATGTTCTAACATCTGATAGCACTAGGTATTTGAACCATCGATGTTAAGAGTTTTTGTGTATTCTGTTATGAGTATATGTGTATTGTATATTATGTATTATGTTAGATTATGTGTATTCAGTTAGGAGTTTATGTGTATTCTGTTAAGAGTTTATGTGTATCATGTATTATGTTAGATTATGTGTATTTTGTTATGAGTTTATGTGTATTATGTTAGATTATGTACATTCTATTGAGTTTATGTGTTTTTTGTTATGAGTTTATGTACATTCGAAATAGAGATTGATTTCTTTTAAAAAAAAAAAAAACATAGTCAAAACGACATCATTTTGGCCAGAGCACATAATGCATTATGCACCCTAATGCACAATATAATTTGCCTCTAATTTATGTAGGTAATAATTACAGACAAATAAAATTTAAACTAAAGCTTGATAGGGGTTGCGCGAACGCAAACCCCCTCTTCCACAAATTATGACGTAGGCTCTCCCATTCAAGGAGACCTTAGACTAGCACCCCTCCAAGAGTGCAATGAAAGTCACTAGTCTAGGCCATGAATCTTCTTGATCAGCCATTGACCCCGTCCAGGTAAGTATGTTTTGGTGTAGTTATGTCTTGTGTATTTATAGCATTCTTAACTTTTTTGTTTTGTGTATTTCCGATGTGGGATGACAACGATTCATCATCATTTATCTTTCTTACGCATCAGACAAGGATGAAGATATATATTACTTAGCTTCAACTGGATAAAGAAAGATCTGCTTTATTATGGATGAGTGTTACAGGGCTGACACTTGCAGAACTACTGAAGATTTACAAATTTATACTCCGTATCTCATATAGTTTGCACCTTGTATTGAGTTTATAAGAATTTTATTGAAGACAGATATATAACACGCATGAAATAGAAACAATACAGTATTGTGTTCTTTGAAATCAGAGTTGAATCATATTAGGGTGAGGAGTAACCGGGCCGGTCCTATGAATTTCAAATCACAATTGAATCCTATTGCATCTTTTTTAAATATATGTAGGTGTTAGGATCTGGTGTTTACAACAACTTTTTTTTAGTTTTTACAAGGAGTGAACATATATTACTTGTATTGACATCTGCCAATCGTATTACTGTCGAAAGATCTTGAATCTGCTGTCCTGAGGGATCTGTCATACCCTGGCTAAGATGGTTCAAATACCAAGTGCTATCCTTTCAAAAAAAAAAAAATACCAAGTGCTATCAGAGATAGAATATTTATTGATAGAGCTTAACTCATGAATGATAATGGTCTGGTGTTGATAGCTCAAAGATAGGATCTATTCATTTAGTCTAAAGAAGAGATCGTTAGACTTAATAGCAAGCACTAGTACAAAACTAGTCATTCGCGAACCTCGTACATTTTTGTCGAAAGTTGAGAATTTGTGATCCTTTATCCGGAAATGGGTCACAAATTCAAATTAGTTTTTAAAAAATAAATAGGTTTCCGTGCATAGATACTAGAGGTGGCCACGAATCGGTTCAAAGTCAAACCAACCCTGAATCGGGCGGAAAAGAAAGTGGGCAGCCTAAGCTTCACTGGGCTTGGGTCGGGCTTAGCCTAAACCAAAACCAACTTGTAAAGAGTTTGTTCAGGTCCTTTAAAAAAGAAAAAAAAAAAAAACCTCGGGAGCCGGCATAGAACCAGCCCAGGTTCCTAACCGACCAAAGAACGTTCCAAGCCCGAGCAGTGGCGGAGCCAGAAAGTCGGGGTTGGGGGAGCCAAGTTTATAGAGGAAAATTATCATCTTAATTGATATTAGTACCAACCACACAATATTATTATATATATACTATATATATGATTGTGCCAATTATTATTGATAATTATTTTTAATTATACTATGTGCAATAATATATGAAATATATAATTATATGAGTACGATCGTTAAGATTCTCAAACATTACTTTTGAAATATATAATTATATGAGTAGGGGGTGACTCCGCCCCTAAGCCCGAGCAGACGCATGCTCCATGCACCACGCAGCCATAGTAGCAAAGCATGGCAGCTTTGTTGGCAAAGAATAAAAATAATTTTGGCCAGCTACTAAAATCAGGCAACTAGCCTTAGCCTGGAACGCGCAATGGCCAAATTAATTTGACCGTTGCACATTGCAACTAGCCTTTGCCAGAGGCTAAGCTAGGCTTGGCCAATTTTATTATTATTATTTTTTTTATTCTTATCTACAGTATAAATACTATTTATCCAATTCATTTTTATCAACAAAAAATTCTCAATCTAACATTATCTTACTCTTACTCACATCAATTCTCTATACATCCTCTTACTCTTTATAATTTTTATTACTCTTATTTATATTTATATTTCATTCTTTGATTTCTTTCAACTTCTCAAATTTCAATTTATATATTTTTAATTTCTTATAATTATATATTAGTCTTATATTTTAATTCTTATACTCATAATTTCATACGGCTTATAATGATTGATAGCATTAATTGTTTGATGATACTTGATCCATAAACGCTCGTATGGAAATAGAAGGAACATGTATAAATTGCCTTGAGTATGTATGTCAAAGTGTAGAATGTGTATGAAAAAATTCTAAATAGAGGAAAATATTTAGCTTTTATTCCTCATTGGGAAAATGGTCAAATAGGCCCTCAAACTATTGCTCAAAAGTCAATTAGGCCCTCCAATTATTTTAAGAAGCAATTACACCTCTGAACAATGTATTTTGATGCAATGAAGTCTAAATCCATATAAATAACCTGCTATCTCAGGTCATTGCAAATCCGGCGACACTCCGTCATATTTTTCGGCAAAAAAATGACCGGCGAACGGTCGCCGGTCACGAAGACCCCTCCCAGAGAAGACCACCACAACTGGGGAAAGCAACCCAAATCTGGGTTGCCTTCTCCGGTTGAGAAGGCCACCACTGTGGTGGCCTTCTCGACCCCCAGATTTGGGTTGCTTTCTCCGGCTGTGGTGGTCTTCTCCGGGAGGGGTCTCCGTGACCGGCGACCGTTCGCCGGTCATTTTTTTGTCCGAGTGTCGACGGATTTGCAATGACCTGGGATAGCAAGTTATTTACCTGTATTTGGACTTCATTGCATCAAAATACATTGTTCAGGGGTGTAATTGCTTCTTAAAATAGTTAGAGGGCCTAATTGACTTTTGAGCAATAGTTTGAGGGCCTATTTGACCCTTTTCCCTTCCTCATTTGATAGAGTATTGTAGCACATTGTAGAAGAGAAGAGAGGTGGTCTTAAGAGCCTCTTAAGTGTAGTAGAGTAGAAGTGAAGAAGGAGACCCTCTACTAAAGGGTTAGGGCCCATTATATAGGAGCCTGATCCGTACCCGATATTGAATATATATACAAAATACGTAGGGCGGTATATCTGAAGTATATTCTCTATCAATGGCAATTCCATCAAAAGGCTAGCTAATTGATTTTTCTAATGTAAAAGAAGATTCATAAGAAATTAATCAACGTCAATTTTTTCTACACAAGAATTAATAGGTGATGTCAATCTTCCTCCTATTACTCCAACGGATGTGGGAGGAAACCAACATCATGCGTTTGGCAACACTTTGAAAAACACCCGTTTAAGGATCCTTCAATCGATATTTAGTACATTGTAACATATGTGCAAATATGAAGAGTCAAAAACCATTTTCTTGGCAATCCGAAACTAATGGCACCAGAACTCTAATCTTAGTCAGCACTTGAATTCTTGTTATAATATGAGGAATGATGAAGGACAACTCGAGAGAAGATACACACAAATCTCTAAGTATGCTACCCCCAACGGAGGTATTTTTACTTATTCACGATAATCAATGATTGAAGAATTTGGTAGATTTATAATTGGTGATTTATTATATTTTAACACATCCGAAAGTACTCATTTTGAAAGATTCGTTAAAAAAACTTTGCAACCACATTATAAAAAAGTACCAAGAAATACTTTAAAACGTGCTATCTATAAAAGTTTTCATATATCAAAAGTTATGTTAGTTAATTATTTTACAAATTTTAATGGTCGTGTTGCTTTAGCTAGTGATACTTGGACAACTCCTCAAGGTGAATCATATATTTGTGTTACTTGTAATTGGATAGATAATAATTGAATAATCCAAAAAAGAATTATTGGTTTCGAATTAATGGAAGAATCTCATACTACTTTTAATTTTAAAAGAAAGAATAATAAATGTTTTGGATGAGTTTGGTATAAAAAATAAAGTTATTTCAATTTCTTTGGATAATGCTTTTTTTAATACTAGATCTATAAAATTTTTACTTGAAAATTTAGATTTACATGTATGGTCAATTATTGCATATTAGATCTATCTTGTGCTAATGTTTTAAATTTATGTGTTCAAGAAGGACTATATAGTTTGAGTGATTTAGTTGAACCAATTAGAAAATGTGTTAAATGACTTTTTTTTTTTGAATGCGTGTTAAATGACTTTTTTTTTTTTTTTTTTGAAAATGCGTGTTAAATGACTTAAATACAATAAAAATTAAATAAAAAAAGTGAACTTAAAACATTGTGCGCACAACATGATTTAAAAAAGAAAAACATTTTAATTTACATACACCTCCTCGGTAGAATTCAATATATAATTGTTATGTGAAACTGCTCCATATCATGAGGTAATAACTATTTTGTATAATAGTAATCAAACTAGTGATGCTTGTGTAATTACAACTCAACATTGGAAAGTAGCTAGTAATGTTTGTACAATTCTTCAATCATTTAATAGTGCTACAAAATCATTTTATTTAATTTATGAACCTAACGTTCATTTAGTTGTAACTGAATGCATTACAATTGATAGTAATCTTATTTCTTAAAGATCTTATTTTGTCAGGTTTAGTTCAAAATATCATAAATAAATTTGTATTATATTTTAGTGATATTTTTTATATTTATAGTTTACCTGATATTCTTGATCCAAATGTGGGTATAAATAGATTAAATGATTTATTAATTTATAATAACGTTTTGCATTTTCTAACTATGTTCAAAAGTATATATATTGATGACTGTTCTTATTTGTTAAAAAATTTATATGAAGAATATTCTTCTATTTATGCATCATAATTTCTTGACCATGTTGTTGTCCACATGTAAAAGTAAGTGGCATAATCCTATTGTTTCAACAATATTAAAAAAGTCAAAGAGTTATGGTATTGGTAATTCTTCTGAAATAGATGCATATTTGTTTTCTAGTTCTGAAATAAATAATGATTTTCATATATTAACATTTTAGAAAGAAAACGAAATAACATTTTCTATTTTATCAAAAACTGCAAAGGATATTTTTGCATGTCCTACTTCAATAGTTACATTCGAGTTTGCTTTTAGTGCCGACAAGAGAGTATTAGATGATAAAAGATCAAGTTTAGCACATGATTCCATTAAAATTTGTAATCATGAAGAAAGATTGGGACGTTGTGCTAATCCTTCTTCATGAATCATGATACAAATTTTGATGGAATCAAGTGCCAAACTTGATCTTTTATCATCTATTACTCTCTTGCCGACACTAAAAGCAGACTCGAATATAATTGTTGAAGCATGACATGCAAAAATATCCTTTGCAATTTTTGACAAAATAGAAAATTTTGTTTCATTTCCTTTTTAAAATGTTAATATATAAAAATCATCATTTATTTCAAAACTACAAGACAAACATTTATCTATTTCAAAAGAATTACCACTATCACAATCCTTTGATTTTTTTTTTAATATTGTTGAAACAATAAAATTATGACACTTGCTCTTACGGACAACAATATGATCAAGAAATTGTGGTGCATAAATAGAAAATATTCTTCATATAAATTTTTTAACAAATAAAAACCATCACCCATATATACTTTTGAACACGTTGAACATAGTTTGAAAAATGCAAAGCATTATAATGAAATAATAAATCATTTAATCTATTTATAGTTCTATACCCACATTTGCATCAAAAATAGCAGTTAAACTATAAATATAAAGAATATCACTAAAATATAATACAAATTTATCTATGATATTTTAAAATAAACTAGGTAAACTAAGATTTTCAAAAAAAATAAGTAAAAAAAAAAAAAAAAAAAAAAAAACTAACAATTGTAATGCATTCAATTACAACTAAATGAACGTTAAGTTCATAAACTAAAGAAAATGATTTTGTAGCACTATCAAATGATTGAAGAATGGAATAAATATTACTAGCTACTTCTCAATATTGAGTTGTAATTACACAAGCATCACTAGTTTAATTACTATTATATAAAATAGTTACGTATTACATTATGATAAATTTCACAAAATTAACATTTTATATATTGAATTCCACCGAGTATGTCTATTTAAATTAAAATGTCTTTCTTTTTTAAATCATGTTATGCACACAATATTTTAAATTCATTTTTTTTTTAAATTTTATTGTATCTAAGCCATTTAACATTCAACTAAATCACTCAAACTATATAGTCCTTCTTGAACGCATAAATTTAAAACATTAGCACAACATCTAATATGCAATAATTGACCATTAACATGTAAAGGTAAAGTTTCAAGTAAAAAATATATAAATCTAGTATTGGAAGAAGCATTATCTAAAGAATTTGTAAAAACTTTATTTCTTAATTCAAACCCATCCAAATCATTTATTACTCGTTCTTTTAAATTAAAAGCAGTATGAGATTCTTCTATTAATTCGAAACCAATAATTCTCTTTTGGAGTATCCAATTATTATCTATCCAATGACAAGTAACACAAATATATAGCTCACCTTGAGGAGGTCTAAATATCACTAGTTAAAGTGACACGACCATTAAAATTTGCAACATAATTAACTAACATAACTTTTGACATATAAAAACTTTTATAGATAGGACGTTTTAAAGTATTTCTTGGTACTTTTTTATAGTGTGGTTGTAAAGATTTTTCAACAAATCTTTCAAAACAAGTACTTTCGGATCGACTAAAAGGTAATTTATCATCAATTATAAATCTATTAAATTCTTCAATCATTAATTCTTATGAATAAGTAAAAATACCCCCGTCGGGGGTAGCATACATACAAATTTGTGTTTGTCTTCTCTCGAGTTGTCCTTCATCGTTTCCTCATATTGTGACAAGAATTCAAGTGCCGACTAATCAGAGTTCTGGTGTCACTAGTTCGGGATTGTCAAGAAAATGGTTTTTGACTCCTATTCATATTTGCACATATTTTGCAATGTACTAAACATCGATGGGAGGAGCCTTCAACGGGTGTTTATTTAAAGTGTTACTAAACTCATGATGTTTATCTTTCGTCCCCCTATATGTTGGAGAAATAGAAGAAAGATTAGCATCACCTAATTAATTCATGAGTAGAAAAAATTGACGTTGATCAATTTCTTATGAATCTTTTTCTACATTAGAAAAATTAATTACCTCTTGCCGGAATTACTACTATAAGCCATATGAAATTAGGAAAATAAGAATTAAAAATATAAGACTAATATAGTATTATAAGGACTTTAAAAATACAAATTGAAATTAAAAAATTTAAAGTAATGAAATTTCAGAGGTTGAAAGAAATCAAAGAATGAAATATAAATAAGAGTAATAAAATTTATAAAGAGTAAAAAGGATGTATAGAAAATTGTTTTGAGTAAGAAAGAGTGTTGGATTGAGAATTTTTGTTAATTAAAATGAATTGGGTAAATAGGAAAACATTACAGATTTCATACCCCAACGTCGTCCGGTGGGCTACTGGAGGAGGGAAAACCAGACGTATGGCATCTTCGTCAAAAACGGCAGCTAGCGCCCACAACCGGATTCCGGCGACGGCGAAGATCGCGTGTCGACGATAACGACTGGGCTCACTGGAAATCTACAATCAACACTGGTGAAACCTTTTGTCATTTATGGGAGAGGAAAAAAAAAAACTTAAAAAGCATTTTTGTACTCAGAAGAGAAATGGCAGAGGGATTTGGAGATACGATTGGTGGATTCCGGAAACGTAGCAGCTTCGTCGTCCCTGAGCTGGCTCCAGAAGAACGGCGAACTAATCGATCGCAGATGGGAATATCGGCTGGCTGGGAGTCGGCGCCGGCTTCGCACACACATGACGCTGTCGTCTTCCGCGCCGTCGCCACCGCTGTCGTCTTCTCCTTCGACTGGTAGATCTGAAAGAGATAAGGGAGCTAGAGAGAAGAAAGACCAGAGGGTAAAGAAAGCTCAAATCTTGAGGGAAGAAAGCAGATCTGGAGAGGCGGAGAAATTAAGAAATTAATTGCATGAAAAGAAGAGTTGAAATAAAGTTCTTTCTTTTTTAAATTTAATACTTTCCAGCGACCCATTCTTCGACACAGGGTCAGAAAGTATTCACATTTTTTTATATGGAAAATAGTCAAATAAGCTTGTAAATTTTATCTAAAAAGTTAATTAGTTTTCTCGACTTTTAAAAAGTATAATTATACATTTTAATATGTTATATTGAAGCATTGGTAAATGACGTGATATTACAAATCATTTTGATTCAGGTATCATTTTTGACTGAAATTCGACAATGGCTATGGCCTGAATCGTAGTCGGTCGCCATCTACCAACAGCGAGTGACCAGTTGGTTATTATGTGTTATTTTGGTTCAAATACATTCAGGGGTTTATTTGATCATTTTTTTTTCTCTATATTGACCAAGTTTTCATGACCAATTCTTTCATGAATGAGGCGGAAACTCATTGTGTGTTTTTCTAAAAGAAATTTCTTTTAAAAAAAAAATCATACACTACCCTTTTTCTTAAGAATGGTAGCGAAAAGTAACATTTGTATGCTTTATTTAGTACCGGTGAAGATATGTTGGAATCCTCCTAAGTGGTCTGGTTGATAGCATCTTTCAATGGTAGGTTCTAATGAGCAATAATTTGTTGAATCATGATCTTCCAAACGAGATCTGCTAAAAAATTACTCATAAAACATCTAATTCTTATTTTGACATTTACAAATAATCCTATCTACAACGAGAGATTATATATAATTTAAGGAGTCTAATTTCTTAACTTACGCGAGATAACATCACCAAAATCTAATACAATGACACTCCTAACAAAATCTCTACAAACTCTTTCTAGTATAGCAAGTCCATAACGTATATGGCCTAGTTACAAAAATAGAGTTATTAGTTCCAATTCCTAAATCATGTAATCCATTAGAAGAGTGATCCCCTTGATAGCTTGCAATGAATTGAAACAAAGAAAATTCATAAAAGAAAAACATTAATTACAAATTTACAAGTTTAAGCAATGCAAATGAAGAAGGAATTATCAACGTTGCAAACTTGCTTGCAAAATAAAATTATTAGCAATCAAGTAATTTTACATTTCAGATCACCATCCATAATTACAAATCTCAAAAATAATATTAGAGAAACCTACACCATGCATGCAGCAGTTGCAAGTGACAACACAATACATACATCATGGTCGTAAAACAAAAACAAACAAAAAAAAATGTATTGATGTAAGCATATTGTTCAAATTCCTTAACTCTTAAATTTCTTTTACAAGTTGAATTTATGTATTTATTATTATTCTTGTTATTTGATGGTTTTGTCGGGATTGGTCCACCATAAATTGGGTATGAAAGTACCAGAATGGGGCAGGAAATAGTAGTATGTTGGTCCCGGTTGGGTGGTGAAAAGTCTAGAGGTGGAGTGAATAGGCTTTTCAAATTTAAACACTTTACCAAAATAACTCCAAGTAAAATAGATTTATATAAAATCTAAACAGTACACATTAGAATAAATGTACGTAAAGTGCTAAGTTCAAAAATGAAGTGTTTATAAATCGTGCAATTTAAATGCTTGTAGTAAGTGAGCTACCCCTTGGGTAGGGGGGCTCTGGCCCCCTACCCCACCCCTCATTTTTAGTATATATATATATATATATATATATATATATATATATATATATAGAAGAGCGCTCATATGCGACGGGGTCTTACGGTGCGGCGGTGCGGTCAAATTTCAGAATACACCAACAGTGTTAACAATATGCACCAACAGTGTAATAAAAACACAGCCCAATGAAATGTAATAAAACATTACAAAATACACCACAGACTCAAAAAAACACACCATATAACTCACCACCCCCAATGGTGTATTTCCGAACAGTGTATGGTGTTTTTACTCACACCTAATGGTGTGTGTTTGGTGATGCAGGACTCTGTTTACTCTGTTTTGTGTGGTGTATTTCCTAACGTTGATGGTGCATATTTGGTGAACTATTGGTGTTGCCGCACCGTAAGAAATAACCGCACCGTAAGACACTACCGCACCTGAACCCGCCTCTCTCTCTCTCTCTCTCTCTATATATATATATATATATATATATATATAATAATAATAATAATAATAATAATATAGATAAATTATATATTTGGCCCCTCCTAATTTTTTTAAAAAGTTACACATTTCATTCCTAAGTTATGTGATAATTGTAGAATTCATCAATTTCGTCATTTTAATAACAGGTTGTGCTCACTCTTAGTCTCTGAGTTATATAATGTTATAAATTTTGACCCAAATATTTTGTTAGTAAATTGACGAAATTTGCAACATCATTTACAGAGTATATTTTAAAGACGATAAGTGAGCACGACTAATAATTAGAGATGAATTCTACAATTGCCCTATAACTTAATTAGGGACAAGAAGTGCAATTTTCTCTATTTTTTACTATTGTATATATTTTGTGTTATGTAAAAAAATTCAAAAGTAATATTTGACAACATTAACGATCTTACTCATATAATTATATATTTCATATATTATTGCATATAGTATAATTAAAAATAATTATCAATAATAATTGACACAATCATATATATATATATATATATATATATATATATATATATATATACTCAGGTTCCCGTGTGGGTGAATGCTTCCCGTGCGGTTGTGCGGTTATTAATGTGCGTGAGATTTGTACTCAATGTGCGTGTGTGTTGTATCTAATGTGCCTGAGATTTGTACTTAATGTGCGTGAATATGTAAAATGCAGCAGCAAAGTGGAGACCTACAGGATAGTTTCTTCGCTAGCTTTGTTCTCGGATGGGTTATCACAAATGGTGCTGGTATTGCTTCTTACCCAATTGACACAATGTCCGGAGAAGAATGATGATGACATCTGGTGAAGTCGTCAAGTTCAAGAGCTCTCTTGATGCTTTTGCTCAGATTCTTAAGAATGAAGGTGCGAAAAGGATGCTGGTGCAAACATTTTATCATGACTATATGGGTGCTTCTCTTTTCAGTAGCATAGTTATATGGTGATTTTCTGTTTTGCTTCTTTCTGAGTTCGTAATTCTGAACTACTCACGCACATTAAGCACAAATCTCACGCATATTAAGCACAACACTCAGGCACATTAAGTACAAAACTCACGCATATTAACATCACTCACATTAAGCACAAAGCTCACGCACATTAAGCACAACACTCACGCACATTAAGTATAAATCTCACGCACATTAATCCACCGCACAACCGCACGGGAAGCAACAAATGCACCTGATCCCTTCCATATATATATATATATATATATATATATATATATATATATATATATATATATATATATTGTATGGTTGGTACTAATGTCGACTAAGATATAAATTTCTTCTATAAATTCAGTCCCTAACCTAGACTTTCTGGCTCTGCCCCTGGTATGTGGTCGTGCCTATGACATAGTACACTCTATGTCCATTTTTTTTCTTGGCTAAGGGCTCGGCATGGTCATTCCCATACATGTGGCTAGCACCCTGCTCGAATTTAAGCATGATTTGACCTAATTTTGAAGAAAAGCCTCCACCCTTTTAGTCCATTTCAATTTTCTTTTATTTCTTATTTTGTTTTTGCACTACTTAATTTTGGATCCCCAACCATTAATAGATAAGTTTCTCACCTTTATCTCTTTCTTTGATTTTCATTTATGATTTCAATTACCTCCTTTATTAATTTGTGTATTTATTATTCTAGTATGAATAGCTAAATATCTAGGGCTTGGATTTGGTTTGGTTTCTTCCTATTGTGGTCTATTTGACTTGTATTGCATAAAAGGGAATGGTTTGGGTGTTATAAGGCTTGTGTGAATTGGGTATGAGTAGAAATTGTGTATAATTGTTGAATCTAATTATATGCTTTTACTTGGAGTGTATTTATTTTTACGAGAGTAGAGCTTGTACACTATACACACATTTACACACTTGATACCACTACAGGAGTATTTATTAGGTGTTAAGGAGAATATATGCTTTGTGTTATTGCTTGGAGAATATATGCTTTGTGTTATGCTAATGTGCATTGCACTTAGTGTTTTGATTTTAGAGTTTATGATTGAATTTTTTGTTTTATTTTGTTTAGTGATTCACTTTTTACAGTGCATTTCAAATTTTGTTTACTGTTTAGGGTCTAACATTTACGGTTTAGATTTAAAATTTAGCTTTTTCATTGATTTTTTAAAATTTATCCAGGTTTGCATATTTAGTTTTTACATATTGCATATTTAAGTGTTCAAGTTTGTAAATTGAAATTAACTATGATTACAAAAAATGTCACCGCGTCTTATCCATCCTATTTTTTAATTTTCTTTGGAGAGTGTGTTCTCATGAGATCCTGTGTCTATCTAATCTCATCCATCTATCTAAGATTATCAATAGCTAAAAATTAACCAAAAAAAAATGCACGAACAAAATGTGTTTTACTACTGCTTAAAAATGCACGAACAAAATGTGTACATTGAAAATGTGTTTTACTATTGCTTTTTTTGGTACATACGAAATTACTGATTGAGTTCTACTACATGAACTCTCAAATCTTACTCTGTGGAAGTAAAAGTTAAAAGTAGAAAATAAAAGTAGACATAATATTTTCCTCAATGATTACTAAAGAGAACTTAGAACAAAGAAAAAATGAATTATGAGGTAGGTTCTCCCATTTAAGGAAACCTTAGACTTGCACCCCTCCAAAAAGTGCAATGGAGATTACTAGTCTAAGCCATGATGACACATTATATGGTGAGATAAGAGGTAGCCATGATGACACTTTATGATCAGTCATTGATGACGGCCGTCCAGGTAAGTATGTTTTAAGTTGTTTACATTGCTTCTCTTCTACATATGACAGGGATGAGGATCAATGTATTTTACATCAATTAGATTAGATAATGAAAGATGCTTAAATTCGTTATGGATGTCGATCTTACTATATTGGAACTTTATTCAAGACAATTATTAATACAATAGATGCATGGCACAACGATAAACAAAATGTAATACAAATTTAAACTC